GCAGTATAGCCTGCAGGGCAGGACGTTTCCAAGCGAAGGGAGCTCATGGTGTATTCCTGAGAAGACGAGAACTCGCAAGCCCCAATATGTTGAACGAAGGATGACTGTCAAGCGTTGATTGAAGGTTTTGGGCAAAAGGTCTCGCATGGCGTAAGGTGCATGATGCGGCTAGATGCGATCTGACTTTGTTAGACCAGAAAGACTGGGGAGATTGGCAGACAAGGGGGTGCCGTGATAGCACTCCCTCTCCCTCTAGGCAAGCCCAAATTCATTTAGATTGGTTATACGCTGCTATGCCGCCAGGGCGAGCCTTTAAGCTGATGCAAAGGAAAATACAAGACAGCGTGTTAAAGGTGGGCTTTGGCTCGGGTCAGGCAAAAGCTCTTCCCGCTGTCAATAGGATCGGACTCTTGGGAGAAGATGGCCCACAGTCGAAACTATCAAAAGCGAGGAACATAGTAGAACTGAAGGTGATAGAAGAAAAGAACACGAATGATCAATCCTGGGCTGTTTCCAAGCACATATGGCAGTGTCATGCCTTGCCCAGAGATAAGGTTGGGAAGTAAACAACCCGGACACTTGAACAAGGGAGAAACCGAGGCCACAGCAATGTGAACTGGTCTTCACAACCCTTGTTCCCAAACCACATGAGACTACCCAACGGATAGGATGGACACTCAGAAGCTATAAAAGGCTAGAAACCAAGGCTGAAGAGTGGTAGGCCGCATAGAAAGAGAAAAAGAAGACGGAAAGCAAAGATGAAACGCAACTCACGGGGGTAGTCTCAAAAATCAAAAAGCAGCACGACTAAATAGACAAATGAGAACGTAACATCACGGTCATAACTGGAAGCGACAGTAACCGAAGACGGGGCGGAAAAAAGAAAGGACGGGACAAGAAACGTGAAGATGGACAAGAAAAGAGAATCTTGTCTCTCATGCGGGAAACCGCTCCAAGTTGTTGGTTTGGCTAGTCAACCCCTGACGAGGATGCTGCTCCACTCCAGAGCCTCAATCATCTGCGCACCGGGGTCGGCCATGAGCGTGTCAGTAGTGTAGTTGGGAGGGATAGCGGTGTCCAGGCAGACGCTGACGACGAAGCCCCGCGGGTTGTTCTCGGAAAGGGGGTCTGTGGTAGACAAGTGGCTTTAGTGTTGCATCTGAGTAATTATACTTAAGGAGAAAGAAGGAGATTTGATTTTGACTTTCAGAAATACTGAAACGGGTATACTTACACCTGGGTGTGCTGTTGGGTCCGCGCCACTGGTTGTAGTGCCAGAACTGGTTGCTAAAGACGTCGCTGGCGTGGTTGCGTCTGCCGTGAAAGGCCATGAGGGCGATGACGAGGGGCATCTCACCGGCGAGGCCGCGGGAGCGGGGGATGCCCTGGTCGTCGCGCGTGTTCTCGAAGACGCGCGGGACGAGCGTGGGGATCCAGCTGGGGTCCCTGGCGGGGACAAAGGGCGCGCCCGTGCCGTCCGTCATGGCCAGCGACACGCCGGCCATGCCGGGGCTGCTGCTGAAGTGCAGCAGGTTCCACGCCGTGTAGGACGTGTTGGTACTGCTCTCGACGTCGTAGGCGTGGTCGCAGGCGCACCCGCGGCGGATGAAGGACGCGCCTAGCGACGAGTCGCCGTCCGACACCACGATGGGTAGGTGTGCCGAGCACGCGAACACGCTCTGCGTCTTGTACGGCACCAGGTAGCCCTCGAAGTTGTTTGCGGCGTCGTAGCGCGCAATACTGCCGGGCTCGCCCATGCGCGGCCGGTACCAGCGGTAGTCGGCCGCGGGGGTCACGACGCCCTGGCAGTAGCGGAACACGATTCCGACTTCCTCGCTCTCGTACGACGCCGCGTTCACGGGCGGCACCATGTTGCCCCACTGATCCGTGGCCGGGGCGACCTGGCCCGGGAGCGGCTCAAAGTTGGCGACGAACTCGTTCACTACGAACAGGAAGCTCAGCGGCTCCTCTCCTGCCGCGGAGGCCGGCGGGCCGTGAGCTACAGCCGGGCCGTGTTTGGTCGAGGACCCGGGCTTGGAGCTGCTGGAGGCTCTCGAGTCCTTGCTGGCACTGCCCTTGGAGGTTTTGCTGGGGGTCCCGTGCCCACGGGCCCGTCCGCTGCCGACTTGGGCGCTCACATGGAACATGATTCAAGACACCTGTCTAACTGTTAGCGGCTTGTGCCAAGTATAATTACGATGTAAACATGTCGTGTGTGCAATCAGAGTTGAGATGGATGTGAGTCTGAAACTCACGCGTGAGGGGAGGAGCCTGCGGGCTCGGGTTATATGGAGTAGAAGTAGGGAGACTTGAGGCTCGGTGTGGAAGAGTTGGCTTTGCTGTTGGGGCTATGGTGCTCAGATCTGTCAGAAATGACAGAGATGGCAGAGAAGAGCCCGGCCATTATAACTCGTTGACCGTCGAGCCTGAGGACCCGAGGGAATGGCACCCTTCGGCGATGCCCAACCGCCACTCTGCTCTGAGGTCCCTGAGACGTTGGGCCCGCGGAGGAAGTTCCTTGAGCAATGATGGAGCTGTATTTTAGGCATGTGGCTCTTCTCTCCCCCCCTCCCCCAGACCCCCCTCTTTTACGCAAATGCGCCATACCCCAGATCGGCGTCATCCCGATATCTCTTGAAGAATAACGCCGAAGTGAGCAAATTAGAGACGGGATTCATGTGACGGGATTCCGACCTCGGGAGTTTCAGGAATCTCGGCATCCTCGTCTTTCCGGACTGGTCTGGGAAACCTGGAGTGGCAGGTCTTGTGGTCTCTGTTTCCCAAGTGACAAGATCCCGGGATATCAGATGTGTTTGACGATGGTTGGACGGATCGCAGCCAAGCTACCCGAATTCGACTGGTAGAATAAAGATGGGGGAGGGGGGAGGGATGAGCGCAGTCGGCAGCTCCATGATTGGGATTCTGGCTGACCGAGGCCACAAAGGGTAGTGGAAGGCCCGTTGCGAGCTTCGTTAAGCTCGATCGCCCAAGAAGTTGCTGATCCAGAGCTGGGATATGTCGCCGGCACGAGCGAGTCACAGCCAAGACTCGCGTGCTAGTTATGGTCCCCCAATCAGACCTGGCTCCGTCCTGGGCGTTGTACCATTGTCAGTTATCAGGTTATTATTTTTTATCGAATGATCCAGAACGCTGCACCCCAATCTGAAGCCGACTGCCAGCGGAACGAATGAGCGGTTTGAGACGCCGACCAACCAGAATTGTTCACTTTGCTGTGACTTAGTGTGACTTGGTGTGAGAGAAAGTGCTCGGAAGACCAAGGCCAGCGCCAGTTAATGGTAGCTGTTGCGAGGGGTAGTGCGACATGTCGTGAAACCTAGCTACGAGAAGCCCGACGGGCCCTGTTACCGATGAGCTTGGTACGTAGGATGTAGCCTGGTAGCCCAAAATCGGGAAGCGGCATGGATATGAGAGAAAACCTGCGGAGCCACCAGTAAATCTGCGCCAAACAAGCGCCGTGCAGCCAGTTCTCGGATCGTTTGCATTCGATTTTACTCTCAGTCTCGGCAGACTGGCCAGGGCCTGTCTCGTTGAGGCAACTGGAGCGGAACGTCGACGTGATGCCAGTGGTGGCGAGGAGCCGAGAGACGCGGGACCCAGCTTCGGGAGTCTTTGTTTTGTTTAGTACGAAGAAGGTGAAGATGCAGGACACTCCGACACAAGACAGGCATACTTTGGCTTGAGAGTCAATCTTTTTTTCTCTCTTCTCCTTTCTGTCTGTGAGCCGAACTGAAGCAAGGAAGCTAGAAATAGCACGCATTCATGATTCGTGGGAGCGGGAAACGCCATTTTATTATCTCGCGAAAACTCGAGCCAAAGCCCAACGCGCCACACCTGGACGGACGGAGATGGAGCATCAAGTAGAATGGCGGTCAAGAGTCGTCAGGAGACTGGAGTAAGCAACCATTTGGAACATGGTCTGGCTTGCAACGGCTTGGATCGGCACTGAGCGCCGGGCGGGCGGACAGAGGGGCATGCAACGGGGCCCATAGGAGTGATGGACGAAGAGCGGATAAGAGCTTGCGGTACTTTTAGGTCGGTCGAGTGGTAAAGGAGGCCAGTCAGTCGAATCGCAGAGGTGCCAAGGCTGGACCATCTGACTCTGAACGCGCGCTCCTCGCGCTCTCGACTTTCTTTTTCCTTGTGGAACACGAAGGCCATTGAATGGAGAAGCAAGGTGAAAAGAAGAAGTTCTCAGAATAATCTGTCGTGGACGGAACGAGAAGAAGGCGATTGAAATAGCACCCGCGTGTCCTCTTATAAGTCTCCTCAGCAGAAGACCGGCTTCCCCGCAAGCGCAAGCAAAGCCTTGTCAACGAAGACGCTCCCCCGTCTCTCCCAAGGGTCTCTCGTAGTACCGAACCGGGACTGACAGTGACGAGTGTCCCCATTTTCAACCCCCTCTTGCTGCCCTCAGTGTCGACAGCAAGCAACACTGTGGGCGGTTTCGAGGCGGGCCCGCGGGGCATTTCGTAAAAGACGGCAGAGGCCGAGGCAAGCCGCCAGAAGGAAGCGAGACCACTGGCGAGTGTTTGCTCGTTGCAGGCGGGGTGGCCATGTGGCATGCATGCACACCCGGCCTCAACGCCCGATGCCCAACCCAAGGCCTCTTTTTATCAGGTGGCCGTCCAGGGTGATGGTCCTGGGAGCCAGTCGGCGGTCCGTCGCCAGGCAAACAAAATGTCCGCTTCCGGGCATGTGACGAACCACGTCAACGACTGGCACCCCTCACTCGGAAGCTGCACCGTGCCAGTGTGCAAGGTGCCACCTGTGATACGTCACCCGATGCGCGCCGTACGGTATCCATGGAGGATCGCTGTGACAGCCCCCCAATTGGCGAGTAAATGTGTATAAATGGGATGAGGATAAATAAGAGCGAAAGAGAAAGAAGGAGAGAAAGGACGTTCCTAAATACCGCAATTAATGGGTATTTGGTCAAACGGGTCATCAGCAAGGATGAAGAAAAAGAAAAAGAATGTGCTTTCCCATACCGGGGTTCGAACCCGGGTCCCCAGAAAGATATTCAACGCTGTGCAAAGACGTGAAAATCTGGTATGCTAAACCACTACACTATATGGGATTCGGTTTGTTGAACACCTGGCCTCAGTTTTCAGATCATGAGTTCAGAGCAAGGAAGAGTTCTGGCGGAAGGCGCCACTTGCCGTTGGCCGTTTGCTCCTGCCTTGTGACACGTTAGGGCTCGAAATTAAATTCAATCCGAACCCAAGGGAGCTTAAATTCTCGCGCCACAGCCGAGGTGAGCAGAACGTTTACTTGGCGAAAGCCAAAATTTAAGGGTTTCTCTTCTCGTTTGCTGAAGACGAAACCCGACCAGCACCGAGCAACGTGAGTGAACATTTCGTTGTGATTTCTCCCTCCAGCTGTTCACCAAGGTCCAATAAAGACAACTCACACCACCATCAAAAAGAAAAAGAAAAAGAAAAGAAAAAGAGGAAAAGAAAAAAAAGCGTCCGCATTTGGCCCAGCTTGCTCTTTCTACCTCGCGCCGGCCAAGTCTGACGTAACAAGAGCAAGACCAACACTAATCAATATGACATGAACACTGAAAGATACTAGCTTCAAGATAAGACATCGAGATTGGGGACAAAGCGAGTGCCAAGCTTACCAGAACGTGCATACCTGTTTAGCTCCCTACCTGTCTGAACCGTGATCAAATCGCGCCCCGAGTTCCTGACGCGGGATAGCGGCAGAGCTTGGATTGATATATATGACGCAGGAACAACAGGGCGAACAGATACAGGTCTGGACCTTGCACTAGAAAATATCCCGGGGCAGCGTGGCCGAATGCTTGAGGTGTTCTAGAAGTCTGGGGGCTTTGGGGACTCGATGGCGTGCGAGTATAGACGAGGTCTGGGCGCGTCGGCCAGTGTCTGCTTCGGGAAGGTGAAACGAGGGCGAGAGGGTCGCCATCCCACGCCCAGCCCTGCGTAGCGGGATGGGCCTAGGGCCAAGCCCCCGGTGCGGCAGTTGGACACAGCCTGGGGGTGGCTGCGCGCCTTGGCGTCCATCTTTGCTCACCTGCGGTCTCATCGCGCGCCATGTCGTGATGGCATCGGCCAACGCCAATGCCACCTCCCGCATCCGTTCAGCCCAAGGTGCTAACTAGCATGACACCAGCTGACTGAATCTCAGACTGCAACTGCACTATGACCAGATACGTCTGCGTAAATGGAAAGAGGCAGAGCTGGCATGGTTGGCTGCATGTCGACAAATCAATTACCAATGCAATGCCCTGAGTGAGAGCATCAGAGCGTAGTCTCACTTGAGACGGATCACCTCACATATATAAGAGTCTTGCCCGCCAGGCTGGACATGACTCTGAGCATGTCGACACTGCCCTCGCCACAGCCCAACAGGAAACTCACCGAGACATGAAGCTCTCGTCAGCCGTCATCGGGCTCTTGGCCACCCTCGCCTTGGGGGCCTCGGTGCCAAAGCTTGAGAAGAAGATCACGTACAGCGGGTACCGGGCCTTCCGCATTGCGACGCATCACGATGCCGCTCTGATCAAGGCTAAGCTGGCGCCCCTCGCCGCCGTGCCCTTCAACCTCGACACGAGCGTGCATCTCGACGTGGCCATCCCGCCCGAGGAGATTGCCGCCTTTGAGGCCCTCGGGCTGGAGACTGAGGTGCTGCACAAGGATCTGGGAGCAGATATTGCCGCCGAGGGCAAGTTTGGCACGTACGACGGTATGTACCTGCCCAGCTTGGTTATTGGCCTCCCTTCGCACTCTAACAACCCAGCTCACAAATACACACACAGTCACGGCCCAGGCCATCCCCAGCCTGACGTGGTTCAACGCGTACCACGCGTACGCGGACCACGTCAAGTTCTTCAGCGACCTGGAGGCGGCGTTCCCGGCCAACTCGGAGCTCATCACGGCCGGCACGTCGTTCCAGGGCCGCTCCCTCTTCGGTATCCACCTCTGGGGCAGCGGCGGCAAGGGCTCCAAGCCCGCCGTCTACTTCCACGGCACCGTCCATGCACGTGAATGGATCTCGGCCAAGGTGGTCGAGTACATTACGTACAGCCTGCTCACGCAGTACGGCAACACCACCGACACGACTGCCAAGACCATCCTGGACAAATACGACTTTTACATTCTGCCGTTTGTCAACCCGGACGGTATGTTCCCAGTTGTCTGCCTTTTAGCTAGACTTGCGGACTTCATGAATAATGTTAGCTGACATTCATCTTTACTTGCCCAGGCTTCGTGTACACGCAGACCAACGACCGGCTGTGGCGCAAGAACCGGCAGACAAGGTCAACGTCGTCGTGCGTGGGCACCGACGTCAACCGCAACTGGCCATGGAAGTGGGAGCTGACCAACGGCGCCTCAACCAACCCGTGCGACGAGACGTACAAGGGGCTTGCGGCGGGCGACACGCCCGAGAACAAGGGCCTCGTGGCATTGACGTCCCAGCTCAAGGCTAGCAAGGGCATCAAGCTGTTTATCGACTGGCACAGTTACGGGCAGTACATCCTGCTGCCCTACGGCTACAACTGCGCGCTGAGGGCGTCCAACCACGCCCGCCAGACGACCCTGGCCTCGGGCCTGGCTGCGCGCATCGCCCTGTCGTACGGCACGCGCTTCACTTACGGCCCGTCGTGCTCGACTCTGTATGCTACAACAGGGGCCAGTGTGGACTATGTGACCGACGTCGGCCTGGCCGAGCTGGCGTGGACGATCGAGCTGAGGCCGACGGGGTCGGGCAGCGGCGGCTTTGTGCTGGCGGCCTCGCAGATCCTGCCGTCGGCCATTGAGCAGTGGGAGGGCATGAAGTATCTTCTGACTACCATGTGAAGGAGGAAGGACTAGACACACGTGGAAATATCAAGACGTAGCTTTTCTCTTCCATGACGTCCCCTGAATGGCGCCTAAATTCATTTATGGTCACAAACAGTTCCCCTTGGTGATTGGAGGCCTTTTCAAGTCCTTTCATTCTACCCGTCATTTGCGTGTGCATTCAGCTCCGTTCATTATCAAAGATGGGATATGAAGCCATTAATAAGGACATCATGATGAGAAAAAGCTAAGAAAGAAAGTACATGCAATGATAGGTATGCAGACAGCCAAAACACGCCACCCGCTTTCGCCCAAACTGAACGGGACGGACCTGACGCCCTGACCTCATATTCACTTGTCAATATTGTCGCTCACTTTCATGCCATCCCCCTCCCCCACCTCGGCCAAAATCGCACTCTGGATATCCGACGGATGGCCACCCCCCCCCCCCCCCCCCCCCGAGTGACACGGTCATCGCGATCTGGCGGTCAACTCAACCATTCCCCTCCTGCCGCCCAGCAAATCCGAATACCCGCCTACGCATTGATGACCAACAAACAACCTGAACTAGACATTCCCTGCCCATTTGGAGAAGCAGAGGTTGCCCTTCACACCACCACCCCTCTTTGCCAAGAGTCGGTCGTCGGCCCCTCTGGTCTAGACCTCGCCGCCAAGATAACAAGGACCTTCATGATTGACTAGACGTTCAGCTGCACAGGAGCCTTGTCTAAGCCACTGGAGCGAAACCCTCGCGCTAGATACCCCATTGGCCATGTGGCGCTGGAATCTGAGCTGGGCCAAGGGACGGCAGAAGTGAGCGATCGGATTTACACTTGGAATCACACATCGTCATGTGTTGCATGGGCACAACCAAGAATCCATGCACCGCAAACTGGCCAATCCGAGGGGCCACAAAGCCGCTAGGCTCTTGCTAGCTTGGCAATATACTTGGCGATTGGCGTTCAGGCAGCCGTTCGGCCCATAGGGCTGAGCGAGCCAAGCGATTCGACACCCCCATCGATGGACGAGAGGGGATAAGCCAAGGGCAAGTTATTGGAAGGTGAGGGGATCTTGACCCATCCCGGTACATATTGGACGCCGCATTTATTGGCATCCCACCAACATACAGAGAGGGTTGAAAAGTGGCGCCAGAACTGGGTGCTGTGTCGCAAGCTGTCAGAAGCTACCTGGCTTGTCCAATGGTTCTTGGCCTTGGGTTGGTGCTAGATTAATTTAACCACAGGTATATAAATCTGACCACGAGATGCTCTCTCATCCAGCCCCTACTAATTACGTTCCCACTGCGTTCGGTCCATTGAAACCAAGTGAGCCTTTACTTCAACCCCTTTCATCTCAAAATCGCACTGCAACGGATTTGCCAACGGCCATAGCCTCCCTGAGACCTCGTCGCCATGACCATCATCACCATCAACGGCAACTCCCTCGACCCCGAGGCGCCGGCTCTCCAAGCCTTCGGTCTTGTCCAGGAAACTGCCCAGGACTCGGACTACATTCTAATCCAGACCAACGGTCCCCTCACGAAGGATGTCAAGCGAGAGCTTGTCGAGAAGCAGGCCGTCATCCAGGAGAAGGTGTCGGACGACACGTATCTCTGCAAATACACGCCCGAGGTGTGTTGCCCCCGGTTTTGTTTGGTTTGTAGAGCTAATCAATCTGAAAATCTGGCAGAACCTCTCCGACATCCGCGCACTGCCCTTCATCACGTATGCCAACGTCTACCAGCCGCACTTTGTCATTGACGCGCGCCTCAAGGAGACGACAAACCCGGCCTCGCCGCCACAGGCCTTCTTGCCGGCCCCGGCTGCCACCTCGCGCCTGGTGACGGTAGACGTCCAGTTCCACTCCGACGTCACCGTGACTCCCGAGCTGACCAGCGCCCTTGCGGCGGCGGTACGCCTCGACGAGGAGTTCCTGGCCGCTGAGGACCACAAGGCGCGCATTGCCGTGCAGCGCCGGTACCTGGCCGACGTAGCCGCGCTGGACGCGGTCAAGAGCATCCGCGAAGTGCACCCCGTCAAGCTGCACAACAACGTGGCGCGCAGCATTCTCAACGCGCACCGCGTGGCGCACCCCGTCAACGGCACGCAGTACGAGGGCGAGGGCCAGGTCGTGTGCGTGTCGGACACGGGCTTCGACAAGGGCTCGCTGGACGCGGCCAAGGTGCCCGATTCCTTCAAAGACGGGTCGCGCGTGCGCGTCAAGGCGCTGTACGCGCTGGGGCGCAAGGAGACGCGCAAGCGCAACGGCACCG